TGTAAATAACATTGGTGTACGCTTCAGCATCGGCTTAAAAAAAAGCAAACACGGTGTGTCTTAGAGAGAATATGATTAAACAACTGGAACTGCGTCCGTGTGTTACTTCTAGAAAGAAGAACACAACAACTACTACCACGACAATTTATATAGACACATATATAATGTTGAGCACTTCTATATGTACGATATATATATTATATTCATCGATGGTAACTTGTATACAACGTATTTCACTAGAAGTTGCACTGTACGCACTTCGAGGGGCCCAGAGTCCTGTGCAGCCTCCCCCCAAAGAAGCCGGCAATGCCCTGCACCAGCACTGCGGAGACGTAGAGGATAAGACCATCCTACAGACAACAAAATAAGAGAAAACCGAAGCGCTGAATGTCTGTATATGAGAGAAAGAGAGGTATTTCTGCTGGCATCGGCCTCATCATTCACCTACAGCTTGAGGAAAAGAACGGGCTAAGCCTTCAAATATACAAAACGTTTTTGGGTTTTGTGTTTAAATATTCAGTATCTCTCTACTTACGTGGTAACGAAGAGATGACGTCGGCTGCAGCAAACGCATGTAGGCGATGATCAGAGGTGCGATGTTCCCGAAGGCGTGTAGACTGCCTGCAACACCGCCCAACACAACAGCAAGAAAAACACAGCAGCGACGAGAAAAGTAGCAGCAACAACAACGACAATAAAGACAACAAGGATTAGAGTGACACCAATAGATCATCACCAACAAAAAAGGAGCAACAAAAGCAGCAACAACTATAGTAACGCTGACTGGAGCCCTGGGTATCCTCGGCCCTGCTGTGCAAACAGCCAGTTTCTGTGTACTGCATTCAAATCCCTAGTGAGTAGATTGAACACCACCAGCACTAAGAGCGTCTGCTTCTCAATACAAAACACTCATAACTGTATACTCTACACCTTTGGTGGTAGACAAGCAATGCTCTCACCGAGGGTCAGATGAATCAGAAAGGCCCCCACTAGGGCCATGTGTGCGCGGCATTTCTGCGCGCCGACCGGTGCCTGTGGAGAAACAAGAGATACATAGAGGAGGCAGAGATATCATCAACTGCATGGTTTGTATTGGTTCGTTTGCGGTGTTATATTATAAGATATGCAACATAGCCCGCGCTGTACAACTCACCTTGGGGCAGGCGGCGGCGACGCTCTCGCCATACATTTTGCCGATTTT